CATTAGTCCACTCATTCAATCTGCGATTGAACCCGAGCATTCCTTCATCTTGTCCTGCCATCATTATCATGTCAGCAAACTTCGACAAGAGGATGAGGGGCTAGTCTATCTCTCTTTCTCACTCTCTGTCCATCGGATTGTCCTCGTTTTTGTTTGTCTCTCCAACATGTCTCGTGGTCGACCCAACATCGAGAAATTCCCACGCTAAACGTCACGGACTGGCTAGATCGCGGCCGAGCGATACGGCGGACACCTTAAACTTCTCGCTGTCCTGTCAATCGACCGCACGTGACATAGAGTCCTGGGCAGACTGGCGAGCACAGTTCTAAAAGATGAAGACCGTGCAACAGCCCGGGCAACGATGGCCCGCGGCAGGTCAGACAGTGCGTCGGAAAGTGCGTCGCCGTACACACCATGTCGAAAGCAGCTCAAAGCCCGATTCTCATGACGACGTGAGTTCATTTGGCTACTCGTGGAATAGCTTGTCACCGCTCTGTAAAGTAATCAGTCAGGCCAGCTGGTTTTCGAAACCGTCAACGTCTCAAAGCGCTTCCAAGGCTTCCAGCACCGCGCTTACATCAATGACGTTAGCGAGCAAACTGTAACACATCAGAACAAGCACAAAATATTGTGAGTGACAGTCAAATGGCTTGGTGTTCTGTTGAAGGCGCTTCTGACACGTTCGTTGCTACAGGGCACTGAACAGCATTTTGCTGTTCTCGGAACATGACGTGTCGGCGTTTATGACATCCTCCAAGCGCTCCGAAAAAGAGCACAGTGTCGAGTTGAGGAAGGCTTTCTGGCGGCGCTTATGCAGCAATCACAATGCACCATATGAGCCGCCAAAAATGGACAGCAAAGTCGTTGTGCCCGCATCTTTCTTGCAAGCGGCTAAAGAAAGCATCCGAGCTATCGATAGCGCTTTCTACCAGGAGATGACGGCACTGGACGCAAAAGATCCGCGTTTTGAGCTCAATATCAGGTGGTTGTTCGTTTGCCGAGCCTTGTAAGTCGTTTCGCAGGCGAGCTTGACACACATGTAGCAGAAAAACTGACATGTCATTCATCCTATGCAGCGCAATTGGCATTGAACAGCAAGAACGCCGGGCCGCCCAAGCATCAGACACGTTGATTCTTTGGGCAAACGGTCAAAGTCTCTCTAGCAAAGTGCACCGCGAGGCGTTTGCGGCAAGCGGCGATTTTATGCGAAATTACGCCGCAGTCCGCGCCTGCGACCGGGTATCCGCACTGTCTCCGTCTCGCGGTCGTCGACGCTGGCGAAAATTGCGGGCCGCGTATTCCCTTGGCGCCTTTGACGTTGCGCGCAATCACTATGCATGGGCGTTCGAGAGTGCGAAAGAACTTTTGCGCAAGAATTCAAGAAGCCCCAGTGAGATGGCTGTCGCTGAAAGCCATCAGACCGGGCTCGAGTTGCCAGTTTTTCCTTGAAGCGCTCAGAATCTTCGCTCCGCGGCTCAGCACTGAACGTCGTGGTCGTGGAGCTTGTGCATTTGGCCAAGCACTTTGGATGCTGACCATGTCAAAGCTAACTGACGCCAGCAGCTTGGCGTGGTAAGCATCCAAAGTGTATGCTGATTACGCCGCAAATTTGCTGCGCGCTCGGTTTGAAGGAGCAGACCAGCTGTTTAGCGTTCAGCTCTGCGACGCTGTCGTGGAATAAAGAGGCTGCCGGCAGCGGGAAGAGATGTAGTTTCTTGTCACACGAATATTTTCCATGGAAAATGGTTATTGATTTGTCAAGCTGCCCGTCCACCGCATCAAGGCCCGTGGTCAGCTGCTGTCAGACAGCTGTCAGAGGTGGCGCAGGTCTCCATTTCTGACTCTCGCCTCTGCTCTTCCTTTCGTCCCGTCGCGGCGCTAGATGTGGAAGGGCGGCACGATTCAAATGTGGAAAGGACTGGCGGGGCTGACGAAAGTGGTGGGCTGGCGATGAAGGTAGCATTTCATGCAGAGTTATCCATAGCTTTTCAAGGACGAGGATGTGCGATATGTCATCCGATGTTTTGAGGCGATGTGCTTGCTGATCCGAATGCCATGCAGTAGCAGGATCATGGCCGAGCGAACTTTCGACTATCATGCAGTCCACGCCTTTGCCAGCTCTCCGTTTCGCCAACCTGGCGGGCTGTTTTATTAATAAGTAATGCCTGATCTTTGCCTTGCGGGAGAGGAACTCAACACTCACGCGAGGAGTTATTCGTGACTGCAGCGGCCAAAAAATGTCGAGCGCCGATCAACGCGAGAAACACCAGCGAACCGGGTAATGACAAGAGGAACGGCAAGCTTTTGGATTTCCGTTACAAGGTGAGTGGATGCGGGCGGGCCATTCGCCGTGCCGGAGCTTTCGTACAATGCAGATATCTGTGCACGGCGACCGCAATCTCTGAGCAGAAATGGGTGTTTGATTTGAAACGGGCGCGTTCCCGCATACTCTCACTGCGGAGTCCATTTTGACAAAAACGCATATGCACCCCCCTGATGCGCCGATTAAGTAAGACGAGTCGGTTTCCTTGTGGGGGTCTGAAACGAGTGATGCAGAAAATGCATAAGGTTACTTGCGCATCTTTTCTGATCCCAGATTTCCATGGATGAGCACAGCGCAGGCCAAAACCCTGGTCCGCGTAACGAGTACATGTGCACCCCAGGCACTTGTTAAGCAGTATTTAGCCATTGCGCGTGGCATTCGAGGAGGAGCCAACAAGAGACCGATCGCCGAGCAGATGAAGGGGGAGCTTCACGGAATGATTACAGACCAAGTGGATTTTTCCGGCAGAGTCACGCTAAACTCTCATTGGTAGAAACGTCGGAACCGAGATTCCAGTCTTTTGGCGACACAAGCGATCCGAGACAGAAAGTCCTTGCCTGTAGACTGACCTACTTGGAAGGCCACGTGAACCGGGGACTTCCCGCGGGCTTCCAAGGCTGCGCAGGCACTCACTACTCGATATAAAAATCCAAGCAGCAGATTGCCAATAAACACACCCTTGCTTCTTAATATGGAAGGGTCTTTCTGGTAGTAATCTACTACAAGAGACACTGTGGATCGACAAAACACATCTCGGACGCCAGCACCTCGTCCGCCGCTTCAGCAGTGACCAACGCCGTCGCGTCGCTCAATTTGGCGAAGTGCGTCCGCTGCTTCTACTCTGCTAGCTACTCTGTCAGCTCTATCCACCGCCGCGGTTGCCTTGATCCCTGCGAATCACTCAGCAGGAGCTGCGGAGCAACAACGCATAGCGGAGCGATCGGCGGCAAGCCTTTGTACGAGCGGATTACTCGGGATTCCCCGTGTTGGAGATTCAAGGCAGGGCGCTTGCGTACATGTGATTGGGCAAAACCGACACTTTCTTCACAGAACGCAGCCAGAGACCCAGTACTTGCACGAGTTTCTGCTGCAAGTGCGAGGACCAGGCAGCGAGTGGACGAATGCCGTAACGGAGCACTCGGTTGCAAGCCTTATACGGTAACGCGGGGCCCATGGCCTCAAGACATGACCTAGTACTTGCCGGAGTTCCTACTGCAAGTGCGTGGATCAGGTAGGAAAAAGATGGAATGCCGTAGTCTTCGGCGTAGGCCGACGAGAACAAAACTCATCAATTTGGGCTGATCGACGAAGCCCTTCGTTTTGCCGCTCTCAGACAATGAGCCACGCACCTGAAGATCTACGCGTACGCGCCAACTTGAAGAACAGCGGACGGTCACGTTAGACATTGTCGAGCTTTTGAAACTGCAGACTTATTACAGGACAAAATCCAGGTTTTTGCCCTTCGCGTATACATATATTCCGGCAGCTTGCATCTTGTTGTTGCACTTGTCACGAACGTGTTATTATTGTGCGGTTGTGTGCTCGGTCGATCTGGCGGAATGCGCAGCAGGTGTTGTCGCGCGCTTTGTCTCTGTCACTCCGCATCTTCCCTCCACACCTGTCAAGCATTCGCGCAACTGCACCCGCTCCTCCTTTCTGCTTCATGTCTTCTTCCCTTTGTCTCTCTGTCGTTTTGTGTACCACTGAGTTCTCTTTACCTCCGATGGCTCAACTGCCCACCACGTCTCAGACCCCACCCACGTCGTCCGCTGCTTCGGCAGTCACCAACGCTGTCGCCGCGCTCAACCTGGCGAGTGCGCCGCCTGCAGCTCCGGTTCTGTCTGACACCCTGGCAGGGCCGGCTACGGCTGCCGTGTCGCTAATGCCCGAAGGAGATAGTTTCTACGATAAGCCGCTCGCCCTGCAGTTTTTGCAACTGACAGCGGGGCTATTGTTCCTGCCGTCAAGCAATCCTACAAGCACTTCTGCCTTAAACCTGGACTGGGGGCCGGGCATCACGGCCCCTCCCGTGATCCCCGGACAACCGGCGCCTCGAAACGACGTTCTCGCAGGCGGCCTCGTCGTCCAAGACATCCTCAAAGGATACGGCGCTCGTGCTCGGCACGATTCCACAGAAGCCAAATGGGTTGATGTGGCATATGCCGTATTCCGCCGTTCCGACGGCATGACGCTTGGCTTCGAGGGAATTTTGACTCCGGTCACCTTCCGCCTCGACCGCGCAGCTCCTCCTCAGCCCATTAATAAGGCGATTCAGATCGCCGCACGCAATATGCGCTTGTACGGTGTGAGAAGAATTATTGTGCCTAACACTTGGACGCAGGTACGTCAAAAAATACATCAGAAACACAAAAGGGCTTGTCTGACGCGCCCTTTTTTTCGACAGCACGATGGCCCTGACTTTCCCAACCCGGAGGTTGTGGTGCTCTTGGTGCTGACCCGCTTGCACTGAACAGAAGGCCGATACAATAGGATAGCCAGTACACCAGATTTGTTTTTGTTTCACCAGCGCAGCCCACATGTAGGTAGTGAGAGGGCTGGCTGTTCTGAATATATTACTATGACAAAACAAGACCAATCGAAAAACAAAACAAGCAAACAAAAAACGTGGCACAAGTGAAAGGGAAGATGCAAAGGGTCCGTCGGCAGGCACCGCGATGTTGGGCGGGAGGATTCGAACCTCCAATCTTCCGATCATGAATCGGACGCGCTACCAAGTTGCGCCACACCCGACGCGGACCTGCTCCAGCGGCGAGAGACGTCGAAAGGTTGCCTTGCGAGAGGAAAGAGTGCGAAGAGAGCGGCGAGGGCGGCGTGAGTAGCGAAAGTCATTCATGAGCTCTTGGGCTTTTTGGGGGTGACTGCGGATAAGAGGCTTGGTGGTGGCCTCTTTGCAGAGGTTGTCCGTGCCAAGTCGCTTGCGTGCTGCTCTAGGACATGCTAAGAACACCGGGGGTTAATAGTCCGTGGGCCAAATGCATATCGTTCGCTGTGAGTCACTCACATTCCAAGCGGGGAAAGCCGTCGACGTTCGTGGGCATTTGCAACCCGAAAAGTGTGCCGGTTATGCAAGCACCAGACGGTAGCATAACGGTTGCGTATGCTTCCCAATCGCATCCTGCGCAAGGAAGGTGTTTACCGATGAGCATGTCTGTCAGACGTGAGGAAACAGCGCGAGTGCCGAAATGAAAACTTACCAAGCCATGTTGTCGCGAATGCTTCCAGGCATTTCCCGGTTTTGGCATACGTGAGCGTTGCGCAATCCTTCGAGCCCTTGATGGCCTTCAGGCGGGCACCATCCGCTTCCCGCCAGCTCTTAATCCAGCTGCCCACCTTTCCCTCGCCCCAAGCAACCACCTCACCGGTCCTCGTGACCCAGGCTTTGTCTGACTGTAAGCCACGAACATTGTGGCGGTCGGGATAGGTCAGAAGCTTCCGGTACTTTGACGCCTCGATTGTTTCATCCGCTGCGGTAGTGCGTAACCCCGAAGCCGTCATCGTGCCAAAGACGACGTCCCACAGCCTCGCGAATGTGGAGGCCTCATTTGTAATTCCCACAGGTCCTTCCTTCACGTAGGCGGATAGGACCGCCTTCAGCGTTGCGCGTAGGTCGAACACTACTTGCAGCACCTCGGCGTTGTCCAGCTCGTCCGGCCGGATGTCGGGTTTGCTCGCGAGAGCCACGTAAAGCCGTCGGGCATCCGCGCCACTCTCTGCAAATAGCTCCTCCATCTCACTCAGCTGCTCCTCACATCGCCGCAACGCGTCGTTGCTGCCCAGGCTCCGCGCAATGCTCTCGAGCTGTTGAGAGCTCGTGCGGCCGGCGTTCCAGAGGCCGATGATTGCGTCGCGGTCCCCACGCGGAAGGCCCCGCACCCACGCGTCCTCAAGGTCCACTACCCACGAGTGCGCCAGCTGCTCCTCGTCGTCGTGCTTCAGTGCTTCCTTCAACAGCATCTCCTCGATAGTGGCGCCGGACGGCAGCGCCGTGTCCGTCTCCTCGTCGCGTGCTGTGAAAGCCGCTAGCGCGGCAGCGGCCAAGCCGCTTGGAGTGGCGAGAGCCATCTCCGAGTCTCTGGTGGGAAGACCGGCCTCATTTCGCGCATCTGCGCGAGGAGCTCGCAGAGTGTCCGCGGTACGAGCCGCCTCCGCAAGAATGTGTCCATGCTGGACACCAGCCTCTGCCGCCTGATATGCGGCCTCGGTAATTGTGCATTGATGGCGCACGGTAAGCATCGCGGCCTCCAAATTCTCGTCGGTGCAAGCCGCAGACCATTCGCGCCCTCGGTTCCGCCATGCAATCCTCTCGTCGTCGTCCAGGTTTTTGCCATATTCGAGGATGGCCGCCTTAGCGTACTTGCTAAGGTGCTTTATCGCGAGAAATCCTTTGAACCCGTACATGGCCGCAGCGCCTAGCATCCAAAGTTCGATGTCCACGCCGCAGGGATTTTAGCAAGCTCGAGCCTGAGTACATCGGCGACCTTCATATTGGGCAGTGCAGCTAGAGCCGTTGCCTTGTGATGAAAGCGAGAGGCGAACAAAGGTAGAGCGGCGAGTGCCGTTGCCTTGTGATGAAAGCGAGAGG